AAGGACTTACATTGACTGGTTCAAATATTTCCAAACCCCGGAACACGTTCTCAATTCGGCTGAGGCGTTCACTATACGGTTTGAAACAATCCGGAAGAATGTGGTATAACCGTCTGAGTGAGTATTTGACTAGTCAGGGATATGTGAACAACGAACTATGCCCTTGTGTGTTCATTAAGAAGTCACATTCCGGATTTGCGATTGTTGCAATATATGTCGATGACATGAATCTCATCGGAACTCCTGAAGAGCTCGCGAGAACTGTTTCGCACCTGAAGTCGGAATTTGAGATGAAAGATCTAGGAAAGACTCGATACTGTCTCGGTCTCGAGATAGAGCATTGTTCGGATGGAATCTTAGTACATTAATCGAACTACACCCAGAAGGTGTTGCGCCGTTTTAATGAGGATAAAGCGAAGTATTCGAGTACTCCTATGGTCGTTCGTACGCTAGATGCAAAGCGAGATCCCTTCCATCCGAAGGAGGATGATGAAGAGATTTTGGAGCCTGAAGTTCCTTATCTAAGTGCGATAGGCGCTTTATTGTACTTAGCTCAATGCATTAGACCCGACATCTCCTTCGCTGTTAATCTTTTGGCAAGATACAACAATGCACCAACACGCAGACATTGGACTGGCGTGAAAGACATCTTCCGTTACCTTAAGGGTACTACGGATTTGGGCTTATTCTATCCCTATGAATCCTCGAGTGATGCCGCACCCTATGCTCATCGGGTTGATTCTCGCCTTGTTAGTTATGCCGACGCTGGATACTTATCTGATCTGCACAAGGCGCGTTCTCAAACGGGTTATGTCTTTACCGTTGGAGGCACCGCAATATCTTGGAGGTCAACTAAACAGACCTTAGTTGCCACTTCGTCTAACCATGCTGAAATTCTCGCCTTACATGAAGCAACTTGGGAATGTTTTTGGTTGAGAGCAGTAATGGGCCATATTCGAAGCTCATGTGATCTTCATCCCGCTGTTAATGCCCCGACGACAATTTTTGAAGACAACGCAACTTGCATCGAACAGCTCAAGAATGGTTACATCAAATGAGACAACACCAAACATATTGCGCCGAAGTTCTTCTTTACACATCAACAACAAGAGCATCAGAAGATTGAAGTCACGCAAATCCGATCACAAGACAATCTGGCCGACCTCTTCACCAAATCACTACCGAAGGCGACGTTTCAGAAGCTTGTTCATGGAATTGGTATGCGTAAACTTTCTGAGTTGTAACTTTGCTATTTCTCTTTGGAATTATGTCAAACTCATGGGGAGTATCTTCTGGATACTTGCTTGATCTTAATGTACTCTTTTTTCCTACTATTAGGAGCATTTTTCCCACTGGGTTTTTGCTACCTAACTAGGTTTTAACGAGGCACCCACCTTGGGCTGGTCATATCCCTGATGACGTCCTGTAGACGTTTCTTTTGACTTTGTATTTCTCACACATTTTTCCTTAGACTATGGATTTTGTCCCTACTTGGGTTTTTGCCATAGCCTTAGGGTTTTTTTTAGTGAGACTTACTACTTATGCAAGTTCCTACCTTATTGAGAATAAGCGTTGTTCCTTGGAATCAGTGCCGACGAGTTGACTTTCTCAATTTCTGCATGATGCTAAATCTACCTTAAGTATTTGCACATTCAAGGGGGAGTGTTGTAAACATTCCTAGAATAAGTATGATTGTGTAAATCCTAGATTAGATTTGATTCTAGTTATCCTTTCCTATTACAACTTGTATTACTTGGAGGAGAAGGAATATCTTCTCTTCCTTTACTACTATAAATAAAGGCACAATGTAGGAGAGATAACAACACACACATTCCCCTACAATTCTACAAACACACATCTCTCTTCTCTCTCCCACTGCCGCCGACCCTCTCTATTTTGTTAGATAAAAATAGACCACAACAATATTTAGGTTTATTGGGCCTTTTTTTTTTAAAAAAAAAAATTCTATTTTTTTCCTATAAATACCTAAATCATTCATTAACCATTCCTCACAAAATTTTCACCATTCATACACCATTTCAATTCTCATATTTTCTTTCCTTTTTCAAAAATCTATCCTTCAATTTTTTCGATAATTTTCAAACTTATATTTTACAAAATTTGGTTCATATTTTTTTTTCATATAACTTCTATTTTACAAACTTATATTTAAATTGTAGTTTTTAAATAATAAATTATATTTGGCCCTATGGCTCTTTGGCCCTCAGTTGGAGACGGTTTTTTGTGACAGGGCTATAACGAGCATTCTGACCCTCGGTTGGAAACGAAGGCAAATATGGTCATGTACTGTTCATTAAAATATTAATATCTTGGAAAATCTTGGAGGGCCAGAGGGCTAAAACGAGCCATATGGCCAGCCCTCGGTTGGAGATGGCCTAACCTTGCAAGAAATTATTTTAATGAACAGTGCAATACCATATTATATATTATCTCTAACTGAGGGGACCAAAAGGCCATAGGCCAAACATTGCCCTTTGACAAAAAACTATCTCCAACCGAGGGGCCAATGGACCATAGGTCAAACATAATTGATTATTTTAATTGAATTAATATGGTTCCTTAAATTAAACTACCATATTAAAATAAGGTTTTCAGACATATTTGAGTGCCACTTGTCGCCAAATAAATAAATCTCTGGATTTCTTATCTTTATATAATCTCAATCATTTTTTGGATAGGATTTCGAGTGCCACGTGTCGAGATATAATTAGTTGTGCAAATTTTAGATAAGATTCTTATTTACCTGGCACTTCTTATCTTCAGCTTCCAATGTTAATAAATTGACTAGATATTGGGGTAGAATTCACACACCTCCAAACACCTTCACTTGTTTAAGAACTACCCTTGACACTATCTTCTGAGACCCATCTATAAGCCCTGAAATATTTCATCTTCTTTTCGAGTCCAAACCCTTCATTTCATTGCCGGTGTGACCATTTGAAAATTATTGAAAAAAATTAAAGGAAAGATTATTGGAAGAGGTAAGAGAATAGAATGTGAAGAATTGAAATAAAATGAGATAAGGTAGTATGGAATAATGAGAAGTATGTGAGGAATGATGTAGGAAGGTATTTATAGGAAAAAAATCCGTCAAAAAAATAAATAAATAAATTCCAACAGTAATCTAACGTCAGTTAGACGTTGCTAGTTGGCGCCGTTGGCATTCAAATGGGCTGAGTTTGAGGGTTGGCAAAATGTCAAGCTTGACATTCTGGCGCTAGAGGGATGTGCTATAGGGCTAGCGGGCTGGTTGCTCTTGGCCAACCCTTTGGCCAATTCTCCTATTTTTGGCCGGGTGGGGATCACGAGCCCCTTGGCCTAGCTCTCGATTAGAGACGGTTTTCATGTCAAAACGGATTATTTTTAGTCTTATGACCCTTTGGTCGAATCGGATGGAGATGGCCTAAGGTTATGGGCCGTACCATGTATAAGTCCAAGTTTGGCCCAAAAGAATGCTAAGTCAATGAAGCCCGTCAATGTTTTTTTTATTGACTAGTGATTTTATTTGGAGTTTAGTTTAAACTCATAACGTAGTTGCCATTGAATTGAAGCGTTCAAAGTTTTGAATTGCACAAAAAAAAAATTAAAAAAATTGAAACGTGAAATCCAAGTATCCTTCAATAGTCATATTTTTACTAATTTTAAATTTGTAAAATGTTGATCATTTGGTGGTCACGGGTCCTTTTCCACTGATTTTGAATTGGGCCGGCTTTTGAGAAAATGATACAACAATCTAAATCAATTACCGGAGAGGAAACCAGCTCACTGTCTATTTTGTTTTCCGTCTATCGTAACAATTGAAATGGAAAATACTTGGCTCATTATTATATATAATGATACATTCCTCGTCATAAACAAGATCAAATCACAATTTGATAAACGTATATGAATTTTTTTTATTTGTGATTTAATTGAGTTCTTTCCACAAACATGTCAGATTATAATCTGCAAGTAAAGAAAAATGATTCTTTACATTTAAGAAGTCACACAATATTCAATTAAAATAGTTTCTCGATTCTACCAAACTCTAGCATTTGATGCATTGGTAAATGATTGGATTGAAATGAAACTAGTAGTCAGTCATTATTTTTTTTACAAACAACCTTGTCTACACAAAACATATATGAAATTATTTATTTGTGATTTAATTGAGTTCTTTCCACAAACATGTCAGATTATAATTTGTAAGTAAAAAAAAAAAAAGATTATTCACATTTAAAAATCATGCAATATTCAATTAAGATAGCTTCTCAGCTCTACCAAACTCTAACATTTGATGCATTGGTAAATGATTAGAATGAAATAAAACGAGTGGTTAGTCAATTTTTTTTCTTTTTAGACAAACGATATTATTTACACTAAAAGGATGAGGGAACAAGCAAAGCCTCACAATGGACTAGCAATAATGTGGTTCAAATTCGTTTTTGGCGATAATCAAACCTAAGACATCTCATTTACAAGTAAAGAAGAATACTATTAAACTGTAGTACTAAGTAGTAGTTGTAAATCAGATTTGAAACCTAACAAAAAAATGGTGATATCTTTACGAATCAAGCTAAGTATGGTAAAGATCTCATACATAAGGAAGGTATGGATACTTGCAAGCCTTGTTCCACATCTAGTAAGCCACACAATCAAGTGCTCACAACTGAGGGAAGGCAATTGCCCGATCCCACATCATATAGGAGTTTTGTTGAAGCATTGTGGTACTTTGACTACTCCAATAGTGTGGTACAACCAAAAGGAACAAAACTTGCAATTCCCACTATTTTCTTCTATGTCGTGGGTAATATATTCTCAAAGAGGAAAAAGCCGAATTCATTGTCTGCCACTGTCCCACCAACGAACTTGTCTGGAAGCTTCTAGATAGTCACATTGGGACGTCGATATTACGACAAACACCCCGCACATTTCACAATATTGCTAATCAGGACACTAGCTTCTTCTATTGGTCAAACCTCAAACCTTAACCCAAAAGCCAAAAGCCGAAAGCCGAACGCCGAAAAGCTAGTTCTTTTTTTACTGATTTAGCCGTTGAGTTTCAGTTTCTTCGCCTCCATTTATCTTCGTTTTCCCCAATTTTACATTTTTTTTAGTATTATTTCCTTATTTAATTTAATTAATCGATTACCAAACCCTGAAAATTATTAAACCCCTCCATTGACCTCCCTCTCCTTCTTCGCCTTGTTCCTCACGCACTCTCTCTCTCTCTGCACGAAAGCCCCTCAAATTCTCTTTCTCTCCGGCAATGCGCGTCGTTTTGTCCCTCTCAGCATGAACAACATCTGTCACAGCTCCTCCGCCTCCTCCACCTCCACCTCCTCCTCCATCAACACCGCTGATCCGGTAACTGCATCACTCGCCTGAAGTTTTTAAATTTAGTTTTGAAGTTTCCAACCACGTTGATTCCTGCAAAGAATAAAGCTTTTTGCTCAATTTTTTTCGCTGTGCTTGGAAATTTCAGTTCAATTTTCGTGTGTAAACTGTAATTGTTTATGTTTTAAAGCTTACTTAAGTTAAATTCAGTTCCATTGACTATGTTATGATTGAAAAGTTCTTAACTTTTTGATTGGTTTGATTGAATTTGATGGTTTAGCTCGAATTGATGTCGAAAGCTTCTGAATTTTATCGCTGTTGTTTGGTTTCTGTTGATTATAGAATGTAGTCTCGAGTCGGAGGAGCGTGGATGGTGGTCAAGCCCTGGCAGCTGAGCCATCGCGTCGATGGCGTGACATTTTCTGGTTGGGAGTGTTTCTGATTCATTTGATTTTGGTGGGATGTGCTCTTACGGTTCTGGGGACCAATAGGTTTAAGAAAACAGATAGGCTAAACATAGATAGGTACACCCAGAGATTTTTGGAAAATGAAAGGGGGTTGACGGAGAACTATTGGCTGCTTTATGCTCTTGCCGGGGGAGTTGGGACACTTCTTGGTTGGACATGGTTGTTTTTCCTCCGTTCTCAAGCGACTCACATGATGAAGGTTGCGGTTCACATCTTGACTACTTATCTTGCTGTGATTAGTGTTCTATTGTTCTGGATGGAACAATTTTTCTGGGGTGTTGCATTTGCGATTGGTGCTGTTTTGCAGTTCATGTATGTTCTTTCAATTGTGGACAGGTATGACTTCGAAATTTTGTTTTTCTGGACCATTATTGAGCTGCAAGAGGAACAATTCTTTGCACTTGTGGATTGTCTTAATTTATATCTAATTAGAAATGGAATGATCAGATCCCTTTGCAGTCTTTCTGACTTCATTGTTAATCAATAGACTTCCCTTTACCATGCTGGTGCTGCAAGCAGCTGTCAAGATGGTATGGAGTCTTCGTGAAGTTATGAGAGTAGCATATGCTTTCATGCTTATTATGCTTTTATGGATGGTATTATGGTCCTTCGGGGCAGCTGGTGTTGTAGCGTCAAGCATTGGAGATGGTGGACGCTGGTGGCTTCTTGTGGTGAGCTGGCAAGTTTTGCTCTTCTTTCATTATTGTTATTGGTATATGGATGCGATATAACAATTAAAATGCCTCAGCTAACGACGTTATTAATGCTGTCACACATGTACTTAGGTTCTCTCTATAAGCTTATTTTGGACGGGTGCAGTACTCTGTAATACTGTGCATGTTATAGTGTCTGGGATGATGTTTCTTGTTCTTATCCATGGTGGTAGGGAGGCACCATCAATGCCTCCAAACTCACTGATGAAGTCTCTTCGGTATGCAGTCACAACTTCTTTTGGCAGTATCTGCTATGGTTCACTTTTCACAGCTTTCATTCGGACACTGCGGTGGAAGGTACACAGACATGTGTTTGCTTTTCTGAACGATGATTTCCTTATATTTCTGTTTAAGTTTGAGAATGAGTATCTTAGTTCTTACAATTTTGAAACATATTTCAGATCAGGGGAGTCCGGTCCAAGATAGGCAACAACGAGTGTCTACTTTGCTGTGTTGATTTTCTCTTTCATCTAGTGGAGACTCTTGTCCGTTTCTTTAACAAGTATGCCTATGTGCAGGTAGTTTTCTGTTAACAAACGCTGTCGTTTTAATTTTCAATTGAGATTAAAGCAACATATTTTTGTCCAAAAAGAGCTGGTGCACTGCAAGTAATGCTGCATAGTAACCTCACAACCTTTGTATGCAATTGGCAAAATTCAACAACAAATACCAATCCTTGCATCTTGTTAAAAGGAACACCAAAATTGTTACCCTAAATATTAACAACAGTAATATTTATTTTAGTAAAAAACAGAGGGGTCATAATTTTAAATGTGAGACTTCTAGTACAAGGCAGGTTGGCTGATTATATTTGAAGTTTAACAACTTGATTTTCCCTTCACATGTTGCTCTCCTTGTATCTAATCACAACATTATTTGCCTAAAACTGATCATCCTCGTTTTCCAGTGGTGCTATCTCAACCCTAAGTGACCATCACTTAGTTCTTGCCGTTTTGTTTAAGTTGTGTAGAAGTAGTTATTTGTGAGTGACGTCGTTCCCTACAGATAGCTGTTTCTGGCAAAGGATTCAATCATTCAGCGAGGGATGCCTGGGAGTTATTTCAGTCTACTGGAGTGGAGGCTCTTGTTGCCTACGATTGTTCAGGTGCGGTTTTATTGATGGGAACAGTTTTGGGCGGGCTTATTACTGGAACTTCCGCCGGGATCTGGACATGGATTAAGTACAGGGACAGAGTGGTTATGGTGGGGTCCACTGCAATGTTGATGGGAATGGTCTTGGTAAGTTTCTTGAATCAGGATCTTTGTTCAAGTTGAGATGGATTTTGACCTTTGATCGTCTTGTAATTTTGTTCATATTTTCTTGAGCGTAGAAAACCTTAGCATGGATCATGTATTTTCAGGTGGGGCTGGCGATGGTGGTTGTGGAAAGTGCCGTTACATCTATTTATATTTGTTATGCAGAAGACCCCTTGTTGATTCGCAGGTGGGATGCTGAGTTCTTCAACCAGATGTCGGAGATGCTACACCAGCGTCTTCAACATAGGAGCTCACGAGCGAGGGAAGTGTTGACCCACCATCACCTTGATAACCACACACAAGAAACACTCCCCGCCTGAAAAGTTACCTGCGATAAAACATGTACACTGTTATAGGATCTTTGTCACTCACAAAAGAGGGAAAATGTGATAGGTAGAAAATTTTGTTTGAAGTTAATTGGTTAGGCAGAGCTATGACCATATATACGTTCACGTCGTTGGATTAGAGTTGAGAAGAGAACAATGAGACTGAGGAAGCAACTCCGTTTTTCCTTGCTCTCAGGCTCTCAAAGGTTCTTCTTCTGATGGATTTGTTACTTCCGTTAACCGGATGTACCCGTTGGAGGTATCACTTGTTTTTGTTCATAACTTGGCTTTTTTGTTTTGATGTCTTGATTGTATGTAACTTTTGAATTATCAATTCATGGAAAGATAACACTTTGATTTGCATTTGTTACATGCAATCAAAGATTGCATGTCTTTTATCTAAAATATTTATCTTTGTATCTGAAAAATCAAAACACAGAATAAGTACTTTGATAAAAAAAAAACACTTATGATTACAAGTGATTCTTAGAGCAACTCCAGCGGATGCTGGTTGCTCGGGTGACAGGGGAGGAGAAAGGGCCTGAGGGCCGGTGGGAGCAGCTCCAGCGGGGAAGGGTCCGACTGAGGGTGGGAGCCCGAGCGAAGGGGGGTGGGGAGTCGACGGGCTTGTGGCCCGAGGGCTTTGCAATTTTTTATTTTTTTTGTGTCAGAGAGAGAGGGTTTTTTATTATTTAAACAAACAAAAAAAACTATTATTTTAATTGCTTATTGTCAGGGGGAGGGTTCCAAGGGTGGAGATGTAAATGTTAATTATTGTTCATTAATGGTAGTTACTATTCATTTAAGGCAGTTACTGTTTAATATGGTGGATTGAATAGTGGATTGCCAGGGGAAAGGGCTCTATGGATGGAATTGCTCTTAGAGAAGCAGTTTTCCGTATCATCCATAGATCCCTTAGGTCACGTGAGGGGCACACACATTGAATCACCAACCGGTACCACAGAGCGAGCAGAGAGCATCAAGAGAGAAAAACACAGAAAAGACGAAAAACCAGCGGCAGAAAGAGTGAAAGGGACACGCCATCAAAGCGTACGATTGCCGTATGAAATGCGTCATATTCTTTTCGGCTTTGGGACGCACAATAAATGTAATGCAAATCCAAAAACGCAAATATGTGTTAATCTACTTACACCCCTAATATATTTACAACAAGAAATACAGGACAAGAGAGGCTTCTGGTGTTCCTGCTGAGTCTGCCACACACTTCTACGGCTAAAACCACAACTGCTGCTTGTCTTGCCATTCCTTTCAAGCAAGCAACCCCTTAATAATTAAAAAAATAATTAGGAATTGATTAATGATTAAATTATTTTAATGTTATACTACTCTTATATTTTTGGGAATGAGGATCATTCCCTGTCCGTTTATCATATATCGTGCATCAATTTTTGTCAAATACTGTTTATATTAAATTTTAAATAAAAAAATTATAATAATTCTGATCAAACGATATACTATAAACGAATACGAACAAAGAATACCTAGGATCCACATAAAAAGATCGTGAGAGGATCTCGTTCTATTTTTGGCCTCATCTACAAAATAATCTGATTTTCGCATCCATCATTTTTCGCGCGCTGACACCCTTCCCCATGATTCGTACGTATATTGCAGCTGCAGGACTTACAGTCCTACTAGTAAATAATAATTGTATACAGTCTATAGAGATAGATGGATTGAGAGACTGAGAGAGGTAAGAGAAAGAGAGGACAGAAACTTTTTTACCCAAAGAGAAGACGTGAAATTGTGTCGTTATCTCGCGCACGGTTATGCGTTTTAACATTTTCATATAATAATGGGTGATTAATTCGACGCAGCGTCGTAGGGATCTCTGTTTTAATGCAAAGAGATCTAAACACTACTGTCTACTCTTTCCCTACAGTGGAGAATGCCTTGCCTACGCTTTAAGTACTAATATGACAACTCAAACTTGGTCAATATGGCAGTGGATTCTTTTGCGTTATTTTGTAATTTGGAGATGTGTAATGTTGTTTGGGTCAATCGACCTCCATCTTAGTTGATTTTTGTCTTAAACAATGATGGCTTACCCTGTTCTCATTAGTTTCTCCTTTTGGCAGTGTAGAGGGCGACGCCTTCGCTTTGCTGCAACCAAGGAAGAAAATATCGGTGATATCGGAAATATCGGTAGTCCGAAAACACGGAAATATCGATGGAAATATCGGTAAAATATCGATATCGATAAAAATTACATGGAAACCACGGAAATTGTAAGAAAAACTTGGAAATTTTTATTGAAACTTTGTAGGATGTTTATTTAGTCAATTATCTATTAGTTTATCACAAAAAATTGGAAGGAAATGCATTGCATGATGGATTTAACATTATCAAGTTGATTATATAGCGATCTGACAAACATTATGAGTGTAGAAAATATGTAGTAATTAATGAAAGAAGTCTAACACACCATAATCATTTATATATAATGAATTAGTACAATATTTTACACTTTAGAACCACATAGAGTTCCTATGAGGTTCAAATTTGTCACTATCTTCATCATCTCTATGTGTAGAATGAGTGTATTGTGAAGAGTAGTTATCAAATGATAAATCCCCAAAATAGTTTTGCATGTAATTGTTAATATGCCACCCATATGGATCCGAGATTGGTTGAGGTTGTCCATAAGAAAAATCATTTGAAGATTGAGGCTGGGATTGATTCCATGAGTCGCTCGATTCCATCCCAACAGGAATGGGATATGAAGGGTAGGGAAATGGTTGGTTATAAGGATAACCATAGTTACTACTTCCCAATCCAACAGAGTCTGAAGTTCTAGATAACGAGTCATCTTCTTGACTTGACAAAATCTTTTTGCCTCTTTCTCTGCGAGTATAGTCCTTCCCTATGGCACCAATTCCTGGTCCTGCCCGCCTACTGCCATGGTCATCATCCTGGGTTGCATGCGTGAAGTTTGCCTCACCAGTGAAGGGGCTCATATATCCGGGAGGTGGTGGTCCATAATAGTTTCCATATCCACCACCACTACCTCCAGCTCCACTACCTCCAGCTCCACTATGTCCTTCATCATTCCCACCTCCGGTGGTAGGTGAGTCTCCTGATCTTGTACTAGAGCTATCATTAGTATCAGCACGATGTTGTGGTTGTGTAGGATTGGAAAAAGGTGGAATTCCAGTGTTGCTTGGTCTTGGCTGCAAAAGTTCTTCGAAAGAGTCAGTGCTGCTAGATCCCACCTCCTCCTCTAATACTCTTTCTACATTTATCCCTTCATTACGTGCTTCTTCAGCAACTCTGGGAGCTGGGTTGCCTTCATCATCATCATCTAAATGAAGAGGTCTAATCCATTGAAAAAGTTGGTTACCCTCCGTATCATCATCTTCACCAACAATATCAAACACATCTAGTGGGTCACCACGGTCGACATGATCGATTTCTGCTTCCTTATCTCGAATTTGAAGCTTCATGTTGTAGTAGCAATAAACTAATTTTTCCAAGCTACTATGAGCCAACTTATTTCTTTGCTTTGTGTGGATGAGTGCAAATGTGCTCCAATTTCTTTCACAAGCAGATGAGGAAGCCGTTTGTGATAATACTTTTATTGCTAACTTTCTCACAGTTGGTGCATCGGTCCCATACATGATCCACCATTCAGCTACAATGAAAAATAATGTTGATAAGCCTAATAACTCCAACAAATTCTATTATAAACTTATAGTGAAATATGTTTATACTCACTAGGAGACATATTTGTTCGAGCAGCAACTGATGTTGGTTCTCCAAATGTTCTTCTTGCATCTTTAAACCATGTTAGCTGAATACAATAAATTGTGTTAGTTTAATCCAACAAAGTAATTATTATAATTTAAGTAATTGTGTACCTCATTTCCAAATTGGCCAACTGCTGGTGATGCAGGGTCTAATTTATTGTATACATTATGTACAGCACGTATAAGGTTACCATCATCTCCAACACCGGGTCTGTATTGGTATCGGGGATTCAAATAATATGCTGTTCAAAAGAAACACATACTCTAATAAGATAAATAATACTTATGCAACTAAAGAAATGAATTGCAAATTATGACATAATTTATACCTGCTGCATGCAAATCGTGGTATAATGTTTTATACCATCGGTCTTCAATTATTTTTACGACCCACCTTGCACCATGTTTTCTTTCCAATTCATCCTTCACTACACGCATCAATTCATATACAGCCCCCATAGTAGGATACACTTCTGTGTCAACGATCCGTAAAACTTTGTAAAGAGGTTCAAACACTTGACACACATGTTCTGTTTGACTCCAAAAAGCATGATCAAGCACTATACTTTCCACCATACGACCTGTATTTGAGCGGCTGAAATTGTGGTTGGCCCAATCGTCACTAGTGAATAGTTGCTTCAACCCTGCTTTCTTCTTGAGTAGGCTGTTTAATGCAATATAGTTGGTGGCGAATCGAGTGGTAGCTGGACGAATAATTTCTCCTCTGCAAAATTCACGCATCTTTGCCAACAACCAACCGTGATTGTAAATATAATTAGTGATCGTTCTAGCTCTTTTGACCACAGTAGCAACATTCTCTCTCTTTCCCATTGCCTCAAACATAAGATCAATACAATGTGCTGCACATGATGTCCAAAACACATTATGATGCTTCATTAACTTTTTTCCAGCTTTGACAAATGCAGAACCGTTGTCGGTCACGACTTGGACAACATTATGCTCTCCCACCTCCATGATTACATCCCTCAATAATTTGTAAATATACTTGTAATTCTTTATATGGTCTGAAGCATCAACAGACTTCAGAAAAATTGTCTTGCCCTTGGAGTATACCATGAAGTTGATGATAGATAATCTGGTCGGGCCGGTCCATCCGTCGTCACACATGATTGTGCAACCATTAGTTTCCCACTTTGACCTCAACTTGTTAACATACTCGCCAATGTCTTTATACTCCATATCCAAATATTTGTTTCTTATCTCATAGGGAGTGGGAGGTTGTACTCCAACACCGGCCTGTTGACATCCCACTACCATATTTTTGAAATGATGTGATGAAGCCTTCGCAGCAGGGACATTTTCATAGATAAAGAACTTGCTAATTAGACGCGCCCATTCCCTCCTTCACATTACCTCCCTTGAAATAACTCCAAACACTCTTTTGACGTGCGTTGGATGACTTATATAAACTTGGGGCTATTGGTGGTGTTGGTTGTGATTCTCTAAGACTGCCTCCCCGTCTCATTTGTGCACCACCACTTGTCCCGGAACCTTGTCCCCTATTAGGAATTTTATGAAGGTGTTCTCTTTCCCATGCTGACTGTTTGGAGGCACGTAATGCTTGTTTCAAACTGCGTCGTTCTTCAGGTCCCATGTCATCA